TTTCTGTATGTTTTAGACTGTTTTGTTTATATCTGGCTTTCTACAATTAGTCACCATCCTTGGTGGACTCTTTGAATCGGGACACTCAAGTCCTTATTTCCTATAAATTGTATTATTTCTTTCGAAAGTTATTTCTCTCCACTCCCCCCCACCCCCCAGAACTCAGAAAGTTTTTGAACCTCCTGGTTTGAACTTCTAAGTCTCATTTCTCTGTAATTTTCTGTATCTTCTGTTTTATTTCCTGGATAATTTCCTGAACTCTAACTTGCAACCCTTTTGCTGAATTTCCTTGATTTTGGCTATATTTTTAGTTTCCAGGACTCCTTGCTTAAATATCTTTCAGGCTATTAAAGCTTTTTGAAAAATTTTGAGTACTTCCATTAGAACTTTCTTTGCCTGCCCCCATTACACACACATTTCTTGTATCTGCCCTTGACCCATTTCTTAAATGACTGGTGATCCTTGATGGTTTCTCATGTTTACAGGTGACATGTGTAAAAGCTGATTAGGAGCTCCCTGTGGCCAAGTTTATTGACCTACAGACTTCAATTTTGCAGGAGTATCAAGAACTGCCTGATTCTTTGCAATCCCCAAACAATAGTGTACCCATCCTCATATTGTAAGCTTTTTTTAAAGATTTTATTTATTTATTCATGATAGACATACAGAGAGAGAGAGAGAGAGAGAGAGGCAGAAGCAGGCTCCATGTGGGGAGCCCTATGCGGACCTGATCCCGGGACTCCAGGATCACACCCTGGGCCAAAGGCAGGCACTAAAGCGCTGAGCCACCCAGGGATCCCCACATTGTAAGTTTCCATAGAGAATTCCCTGTGCCCTGCTTGGGGCAAGGAGTGGCCTGAGCAGGGGTGTCTAACCATTCTCTCTGCAGACTTAATAAAGCTAGAAATTAGGAAAGGCTTTCTAGGTAGTGATTCAGTATTATGTAATGTTTACTGGTTACAAATTGAGATAATTAACTTACCTAAATTTTTAGGTTAAAAGTTGTCCTGGTGGCCCAGCGGTTTAGCGCCGCCTTCAGCCCGGGGTGTGATCCTGGAGAGCCAGGATCGAGTCCCCATCAGGCTCTCTGCCTGGAGCCTGCTTCTCCCTCTGCCTGTGTCTGTGCCTCTCTCTCTCTCTGTCATGAATAAATAAATAAATCTTAAAAAAAAAAAGTTGTCCTGTGTTATTAGTACAGATTCATAGCTTGGTCAATGATATTTACTGCATTATGGAAATAATAAAGCTTCACTTTTACAAAATATATCCAACATATGCTGTCTTTCCCTGCAAGTCTGTCCTAAGAGATTTCCAGGGTCATAAGTGCTCTCAGTGGCCACCTCCAAGCCTAAATCCTCTCCAGGGTCACTGCCACACCTCCCTGTGACCACTCCTGCTCCTGCTGGACTGAGCTGCTCTTACTTCTAAGAAAACAAGACCCTTTCTCACCTTTATGTCCTGCATTCTCCCTTGTGATGATTAATTTTATGTGTCAACCTGACTGGACTATTGGGTGCCCAGACATTTGGTCAAACATGATTTTGGTTGTGTTCGTGAGAATGAGATTAACACTTGGATCAGTAAACTGAATGAAAGGATTGCCTTCTCCAATGTCAGAGACTCCTCCAATCAGCTGAAGCCCTAAATAGAACAAAAGGGCCTGAATAGAAGAAAAAGATGGAACCCCTGCTGTTTGAGTACCTCTGAGCGGGATCACTGTTTTTTTCCTATCTTGGGGCTCATACTGAAAGATTAGCTTTTCCTGGGTCTTCAGCCTACTGGCTTTTGGACTAGAGTGACAGACACCATTGGCTCTCTTGTTTCTCAGGCCTTTGGACTCCAACTGGGTCTCCAGCTTGTTGCCTGCAGATTTCAGGACTTGCCAGCCTCCATCACTGTGTGATCCAATTCCTTATAACAAATCATCTCTCTCTCTCTCTCTCTCTCTCTCTCTCTCTCACACACACACACACACACAGACACACATGTAGAGATTAGTTCTGTTTCTCTGGAGGATGGTAATGCACCCCTCAAGGGGGTGAAAACTGATTCTCAGGGAGAGAAACAAATTTTAGATATTACAATGGTTTGTGGCCCTCCAAAGCGCAGCCCTACCAGACAAAATCTTATTTCTTAATATTGAACTTTTCCCCTTAATTTTGTATGCATTTTTCCTTGAGGGGGCTAATGAAATACAACAAAGGTTGAGAACAACTGCTTTCTGCCTTTGCTTCACCCATTGTTTGCCCGAAGCACCCTCTCCACTACAAGGTTGTCATGATTGTCCTGACTCCAGTTTTGCTCCCCTGACATCCATTCTCCACACAACAGCCATACTTCTCTCAAAAATAGACATCCTACCCTGACACTCTGTTCAGAACCTTCCATGGCTCCCAGCTGCATTTAGAATAAAACCCGCAGCTACTGCTATTTTCACTTGCTTTAGCCACAGTGGCTTTTATAGTTTTCTGGGACATGTGGAGCTTTTCTCTGCTCCAGAGTCTTGCATTGCTGAAAGTCCTTTGTTCTGGGAGTGACTGGCTCCGGCTCAGTTCACTTCCCTATGGAGACTTCCCCTGTCCCTGATCCTCAGCGGAAATCCCAATTGTGTCCCCCCTGTGCCCAGCCAGAACCCAAAAGTCACACCAGGGCCATACCTGAGTTGGCATCTGGGCCCCCACCTCTTACTGTCAGGATGACATTGGGCAAATCCCTTAATATCTATGAATTTCAGTTTCTTATCCATTATATAGGGCTAACGGCGCCTATCTCAAGAGTGGTTATGTGGGTTAGATGAGATGATACAGCAGCAGGCAGAGAGCCTGGTACGTAATTGCTTGACAAGTGGTCATTATTATGTCATTCATTCATCCAGCAAATACTGGATTGGTGTACGCCCAGCCCTTGCTTGGTAGGAGCTGGGATCCAGAGGTGCATGAGGCAGGCACTCCTGCCCTCTCAGGCCCCTAAACCTCTCCGGCGATACTGGTGAATATCAGGAATCCAAGTTCAGTGCCAACGTGCTATGACATGGGAAAGCATAGGTGCTGTGGGGTGGGGAGCAGTTCAAGACTTTGCCTGTCTTGGGGAGTGCCAGGCAGGCGACCTGACCAAGACCCACTCTGGAGCACCACCTGCAGGGCAGGATCATCCAGAACCTTCTGGGTGGGGTGAGGGGCCTTTATTTTGACAAGTAGAGTCCCTGAAGGGCTTTAAGCAGAAGCTTGATTTGATCGCAGCTGGGGAAAGAGCGAGGGTGGGCAGGCCCAGAGCTAACGGTATCGTGGCCCTGTAACCACCCACAGAACCATTGGGGAAAAGATGTCTTTGGTATCTCGTTGACACCAAAGGTCGTGATAAGGGACCCCTTTCGCCCTATCGTCCTAAGTGCAGAACTGTACCTGGGGCTGGCTGGTGATGGGCAAGGCGGCCCGGGGAGGAGGAGGGGCCAGGCGGAGAGCTCACCTTTCTGACCCGAGCGTCTGAGGCCTCGCGGGGCAGGGCACGGGAAGGCCCGGGAGGGCCTGGCTGGGTGCACAACCCATGACGTGGGTGAACGCGAGGCCGTGAGAAATGGGACCATCCGGGGCCCTGGCGGGTCGCAAGGCACCAGGAGTCCGGGACGGCGGCTTAGCTGGGGTGCAGGGAGAGGGCGGGCTCGCGAAGGGCGCCTGCAGGCCCGGGGCTTCCACGCCGACTGGCAGGTGTGCGGGGCCGGGCCCGGCGCAGCCAGCCACGGCTGCTCTGTGCAGGCTCTTTCACCTCCCGGGGCGGCCCCGGCCCGACGCAGCCGCGCTCTCCCGGAGGCAGCTCCGTGCACCGCGAGGCCCAGCCCCTCCGGAACCCCACCCAAGCCCACGAGGCAGGCTGTTCTGGAGCGCAGAGAGTCACCAGGACTCGGGCAAGGGGGCCGGCGCAAGGTCACGAAGCCGGCAGGTGGAGGAAGCGCTCTCGAACCCAGAGCCCGACCAAGGTCACTGGGCCACTCCCGGCGGGCCAGGGCCGGGCGGCCTGCCTGGTGCATCCCGGGGGCCTGGCCAGCCTGCCGCACTCGGGGGGCGGGGCGCGGGGCGCGGGGCTCAGGGCGCCGGGGCGTGTGCGTGCCTGTCAAAGAGGCGGAACTCCTCGCTCCAGCCCTGTAGTTCGTCCACCGCGGGCGACGGATCCCCGCGCCGGCCCGGCCCTTCCGCCCAACTACAACTCCCAGAAGGCTAAGCTGCGCGGGCGTGGCCGGGCGGTGCGGACAGCGTCGGTGACGTCACCGGCGCAGCCGGCAGCCTCCTCCCCAGCCCACCCCCTCGCGGCGTCCGGGCACTCGGCCGCGCGCAGCCTGACGGGAATCGTGGTCATTCCGCCGAGTGCCCGCAGCGGCAACGCGGGCGCGTGGACTACAACTCCCAGCGTGCCCTGCGCGCCGACGCTCGTTAACGGCGGGAGGGGGCGGGCGAGGGAGGGGGGAGCGGCGTTCGGGAGGGCGGAGTAAGGCGGGGGGGGGAGGGCGCCCACACCCCTCCCCCTCCCCGCCGCTCCTTCCCCCTCCCCCGACGTAAACTGGGATCCCTTTCCCCTTGTGTCCGCCATATTGGACTCTAACTCTGGTCAGCGGCGGCGCCGGGCCCGGTGGACTCGCCGTTCCTCCCGCCCAGCGGCCTCCCCGCAGCTCCCGCCCGCCCGGCCCTCCTGGCCCTCCCCGCCCGCAGGCGACCCCGCGCAGCGCCCCCCGCCCTCGGCCGGCCGGAGCGCCCTGCCGCCGCCTAAGCCTCCCCGCCTTCCCCGCCCTCCGCCGCCGCCCGCGGCCCCGCGCCCGCTCCGCGCCCTCTCCCCGCCCGCCCGCCATGAGCCCGGCCGACGCCAAGCGCGGGGCCAAGCGCCGGAAGAACAAGCGGGGCGGCGGCGGCGGCTCGGGCGGGGGCAACGGCGGCGCGGGCGGCGGCAAGGCCGGCCCGGCGGCGGTGCTGCGCGGCTCCCAGGCCGTGGGCCTGGCGGCTCCGGGCGGCGCGGCGGCGGCCAACGGGCCCCTCGGCGCGGGCGCGGGCGCGGGCGGCGCCGCCCCCGGAGGCTACTTCGAGGTAAGCAGCGGCGGGGCGGGGGCGGGGGCGGGGTGGGCGGGCGGACCCGGGCTGGCCTCCCGCCGGGGGCCCGGCTCTGCGCGGGTAACGGGCGGGCGCGGGGCCGGGCCGGGCCGGGCGGGAGCTGCGGGGAGGCCGCGGGCCGCTGGCGCCGTGACAGCCCTCCCGCGGGGCCGGCGAGCGCGGGGGACCGGCTGCCCGCGCCAGGTGCCGGCATCTCCTGGGTGCGGCGCGCCGCGCTGCCTGCGCCTCTGCCCACCTGCGCGGTGCTGTCACGGACCCGGGGCTGCTGCCATCCCGCCCCGCGCCGAGCTCGTCCTTGAAATTGCTCGTGTGCAATTCCAGAATAATTAGGAGTCAGGTGACGAGCGGGGCTTCCCTTCGGAGTCGAGCGTGCTTTCAAAGGTTGTGTCACGGTGCCTCCCTTCTCCATCCCTCGCGAGGGGTGACTGAGCAGCGCCCTCACAGAAGTTTTCTTTTTCTGCTCCGATTTGGTCGTTTGAAAGCTACCTGACAGTCTCTCGGAGCCCTGGCTCTTCGCCTCCAGCTTCTTAAAAAAGTTTTCAGGGGTAATGGGTGGTCTGGTGACTCGGGCACGTATTTAGTGTTTGGGCTTGAGGAATTTGAAAAGTACTTTTTTTTTTTTTTTTTTTTCTGTGTTTACGAAAGCAGCGAGCACACGCTGCATCTCCCGGTGGTGGTGGGTTGCTGCACCTTTGTTAGGCGGTTGGTCCCAGCACTTGAGAAGACACAATGGTAGTGCGAGGGTGTGCGCTTGACAGGCATTTCCAGTTCGTTCCAGTGGCTCCTGAAGGATCATGGACTTTAACAAAGTTGGGTGGTTACAACTGAAATCAGGTTGTTTTAAAGATCTTTGCAATTAAGAGAGAGCCTCATTAGGAGCATTTGCGGTGCCAGATTATGACACATGAATTGTGTGCAAGATGCTCAGTACTGTGTTGGGATGGTATGCAGTGAGAGCAGATAAGGAACGATTGCATACGGCGTGGCTTTCTGATGCTTTTGCTGTAAGTGAACATACAGCAACGTATGTGTCCTTTAGTTTCAGTTTAAAGTCCCTTCAGCCTCTGCTGTAGTGGAGTAATAAGTGCTCTTGTTGGAGCTTTCTTTAGATGATATTGCTACCTTTGTTGGGATCCTGGATGGTAGCCCTGGCCTTCAGCCTCCAGAGGCTAACCTTTCCAATACTCTGGACAGGGAAACAGGTACAGTTGTTGGGATCAGGGGTGAGGTTTAGGCGTTTGGATCCTGGGCTGTAAATTAAGGGCAGTGTTTGCTGCTGCTGGGGAGGTGAGGGTAGAAGGTCTGCCTGTGCAAATCCTTTACAAAAATGTGGATGATACTTGTTGTATCTTGGTGTAAAGTAGAACATTTATGTTGATTCAGTAAAAACAAGTTTGTGGTACCATTGTTTCGGGTTTTAATAAATCCCATTTACTTTGCAATACTTAGGTAGAATAGTCTTCTTTTAGGCTATTCTAACCACGTTAAATTCATATGTAACCATTTATCAAGTATTATTATCATCATTATTTTATTTTTTAGAGAGTGAGAGTTACATGCAGGCTACAGAGGGAGAGAAACTGTCAAGCCGGCTCCACACCCAGCAGGAGCCCCTCGCCCATGAGATCATGAGCTGAGCGGAAACCAAGAGTTGGACCCTTAACCGATTGAGCCTCTCAGGCACCCCCATCTAGTATTCTTCTTGACAGAACTGTCTTACTCTGTTAAACTTCTGAATCAAGGTTTTTGACCATGAACCCCTGTAAGAAATAAGACTAAGACCTGTAGTGTATACTTCTGCTTACACAACAAAAATTTTAATATTAATAATATTCCAGTACTTTTTAATCTTTTTAATTCTGTTCCATTTCATTAATAAAGTGGTTGTGGTACACAGAATTACTTTACTGTGTACCATTGATTCGTGACCTGCACCTTGAAAAACACTTTCTTTTACTGTATTTTATTTTATTTTATTTTTTAAAGATTTATTTATTTATGATAGACATAGAGAGAGAGAGGCAGAGACACAGGGGGAGGGAGAAGCAGGCTCCATGCCGGGAGCCCGACGTGGGACTCGATCCCGGGGCTCCAGGATCGCGCCCTGGGCCAAAGGCAGGTGCCAAACCGCCAAGCCACCCAGGGATCTCCTCTTTTACTGTATTTTAAAGTTTTATAGTTCTATCGTGAGCTTTAAAATTTCTTTGCAAGTATTTTTGATAACTGTGAAACATACCCACGGTGACAGGGCTAAAAGTGTTCTTGACACTGATCATAAAAATCCTTATTGTAATCCTGAAGGCTCTGGATTCTTTCCCCAAGAAGGTGAGCTGTTTGGGGGAATCTTGTCTGGTGCAGAAGAGGCACCCCAGAACAGTTGTTGTCAACAAATAACAGGGAGTGGGTACCGGCCCTCCATTTCCGGGAGAAGCTTATGATTGACTTCAGGGGTGCATCTTTTCCATTCTATGCGGGGTCACCAGACCAGAAAGTGCCTGAGAGAGAAGTAAGAGTGGAAGCACTGTGTTGATTCTCAGGAGGGGTCCTGTGTGTTGGAAATAGCCCTGAGTGTTAAACCTACGACCGCCTTCCCCAGAGCAGCTGCTCAGGCAGAGGGCCTTTCTGCATGTGGGCGGCTTCTACATAGAAGCAAGAGCTGAGAGGCCAGTAGGAAAACATCATGTAGCTAGTAGAGTTTTTGACCTACCAAAACCTGCGGGATACAAATTGGATAGGCTCTGCCCCCTCAGGCAAGGTGTCAAACCTCACGCTGCCTTGGTGTTCTAAGTAATGTGGCACCTAGCTCCTAGGGTTATTGTAAGAATTAAATAAACAGTGCCTGGTAACACATAATGTGCTGTGTATGTGCATAGTCATTAATTTCCAGGAGGCTGGGTTGGACTTTATTTGGGGATTTTGCCACAGGATGATTTTGATCAAGCTTTTTCTGCTTGTGAAATGGGAAAACCTTGTACAGTTAAGAATGGTGAACATGAATGGGTCTTGTATAAGGCCTTGTTCTAATAGCCTTGTTCTGCAGTCTGCTCTGATGTGTTAGTAAAGGGTTGGCTCTGAAATGAAAAGTTGGTAGGTGAAGGGTGTTGTGACTAGATCTTACTATTTTGCATTTCTTTTTAAAAAAAAAATATTTATTTATTTATTTATGAGGGAGAGATAGAGGAAAAGCTAGGGTGGAGGTGGGGGGCAGAGGGAGAGGGAGAAGCAGGGTCCTCACTGAGCTGGGAGCCTGATGTGGGGCGCTTGATCCCAGGACCCCAAGATCATGACCTGAGCCAAACGCAGATGCTTAACTGACTGAGCCACCCAGGCACCCCATGCCTTTTATGTTTTTTTTTTAATTTTATTTTTTTTAAAAGATTTTATTTATTCATTCATGAGAGACACACGGAGAGAGAAAGGCAGAGACATAGAGGGAGAAGCAGGCTCCCTACAAGGAGCCCAGTGTGGGACTCGATCACGTCCTGAGCTGAAAGCAGATGCTCAACTGCTGAGCTACCCAGATGTCCCATGCATTTCTATTTTAAATGTAATTTTCATAACGTTTGTGATGTATTAAGTGAAAAAGGAAGCTTACAAAATAGAAAATGTTTGTTGTACAGACCCGCTTTTGTAAAATATCTGTGTGTATATATATTTGCATAGAAAAGTCTGATAGGGTATGCATCAAAATATTTTGTGGTGGAAATTCTGATGGCTTTCTTTTTTTTTTCCTTTCTGCACATGCCTCAAGCTTTAAGACTTTTCTACAGTGAGTGTTACTTGTAGAGCAAAAAAAAAAAAAGAATACTTTTACAACCTGATATTACTAACATTTTTTTCTTTCTCTTTTTGTTTTTAAGATTTTATTTATTTGAGAGAGAGAGAATGAGTACGAGTAGGGAGAGGGGAGAGGTAGAGGAAGAGGAAGAAGCAGACTTCCCAGTGGGCAGGGAGCCTAACTTCGGACTCTATCCCAGGACCTGGAGATCATGACCCGAGCCAAAGGTAGCCACTTAACCAAATGAGTGGTCGCCCCACATCATTTTTCAAATAAAACTGATTTGAGCTTTTTCTATTTTTATTTTTTATTTTTTTTTTTGCTTTTTCTATTTTTAATAGTCAATATATGCAAAATGTATTTACACCATCAGAATCCTGTTTCCTGAATAGGTGTGCAAAATTAAGTCATGCACATATTATTTACAAAACCCAGAATTCCTCTATTATGGAAATTGACCCATGTCACTAGCTGTTGGAATATCAAGTTACATATAGTTTACACTCAACTCATGGAGGGCTCAAAAGGGAGTTTAGAGCTATTTTTATAATGCTGTTAGAGATTTATAAAAGGAAGCCATTTGGGGGTAGGGATCAAAGTACATTTTCAAACAGGGATATTAAAATTGTGAAGTCAGAGAAACCTGTTGTAGTGTAGGCGGCATTTGTAACAATATGAATCCTTTTCATTGATGAAAAGGTGGCAAGAAGGAGATAATGTTAGTAATGTCTAAAGGTTATCCTACAAGTATATTCAGAGTTAGATGGTATAATTATGGATTTGGGGGTACGTTGGATGTGTTGCAGAAATTGCTGCTGTGATAAAATGAGGTTCAGTCATAACTTTCTAGTTCGCATTTGCCTTAATGACCTGAGGATGTATGTCAAATAAAGATCTAGAACCTTAATGTGCTTTAAGTAAGATTAACAATTTGATGAAGCTGCAAAGAGCATCTCTTTGATTCAGCATTTTATGTATGTGTACACCAGTGTAACTAATATATCAAGATATAAAATACAGATAAAGAATATTCCCAGTACCCTAGAATGCTCCCTTGTTCCCCTTTGCAGTCATCCCCACCAACTCTTCTTGTGAATTTTGGCTTTATTTGAATTTCACGTAAAAGTACTCTGCCAGTGCTCTGGCTCAACATTGAGATGCAGCCATGTTGTTGAGGTAGCAGCTCATCATTGTGTTT